TGCTCAGCCTGTGGGTTGGAGGTGCCTAGTATGAGCAGTAGAATATGTTGAGGCAGATGTGAGACAAGGAGGTGATTTGAGACCGTCAGTATGACCTCACCATGAACAAATTATTCCTGACCAGTCTGGCAGCCTTCTATGATGGAGCAACAGCATCAATGGACAAAAAAAAGACAACTAGTATTATCTACCTGGTCTTCTGCAAGACCTTTGACATGGTCCTACACCACATCCTTATTGGAGAAGTATGGATTAGAAGGCTGGACTAAGTAAAAATCAGAGTAAAAACAATCAAAACTGTTTTTTCTTAGATTGTGCACTACTAGTAAAAAAATAGGGAAATTTAATGCAGTCATGAATGATGGTTGGACAAAACTGCTTATTTTCCTGACTTGCAAATAACAGACTTACAAAATGCAGTTTCCCTATGTAAGATGAACACATCCTTTATTATTCTCATCCATTTATCACACAATAAGAATTTCAATTTCATATATTTTGCTTTTTTAGTAATAATGATCTAGTTTTCAGAAAGAGCTTTAAAGTTTGGCTTTTATTATTTCAGAGACAAAGATCTCAGGCATGAAAAATGGTCAAGCATAACAGCACACTTCAGTTTTGCTTGTTTTCAGATGCTCTTCTTTCATTTCAAATTGCATGAGATCATTATTATACAAGTAAGGAAGAATCCATTCCTAATCTTCTACCCAGAGTGGTGCTGAAGATGGCCAAAGTCACTGCATTTCAAATTGCCTAGGTCTTTTCAGAAATACTTACTGATCCAGAGATATAGAAGTAATTGAAAATTACATATAAGATTCCAGGAAGTACCTTAAGAGAACTAGGTATTAACAGTAATAGTTACAGCATCTGATCGACCTAGAGAGCAAAAGATCACTGATTACAGCAGAGTAACAGTAAGCATTTAAATATCAAGTCAAGCCAGGTAGATCTCTCTCTTAGTCCGTATTTCACTAAACATGAAAAAACACTTTCTAAACCAAATGTGTTTGCTTCGATCCAATGCAGTCCTTGGAACTATGGAGTAAGACTCACAGGAAAAATTCAAGATTAAGTGAAATGGGAAAAATAGTTGATACATATTATCAAGATAAACAGAAAATACACAAGTCTCAAGACGACATTAACTTCTATGAATATTTTAACAAAACAATTATTCAGAACTTCATATACATTGAGCTGAAAAAATACTTTACATAAATGTAAGTAAAACTATAATTGCTTAAAAAAAATTGATAAAATTAAATAATACAAATAAATTGTATTTTACTGTACAAAATTCTGAATAGTTAGATCTCAAAGAACCGCACCAGAACCAGTATACGTGAACCAGCACTCACTTCTTTCTTGTTAAGCCTTTAAGACTTTACTTACTAGAAGTTACCTTGGACTTCCCTTTATTGTTCACATTTGTTTAAATTAAATTCCCAAACTCACTCAGGTAATTTGCTTCCAAGTTGATTTCAGCTCTCTAGAACTGGCTACTCTGAAGTATGTGTTTATATTTAGAGTGGACAGTTTGAGCTTGCTTCATACTTTTTCGGGTTTTTTTCTTAACTGATGTTGAGCATATTCATGAAGCAGCTACATGCCATATACTTCTAAGTTACATCTTATGTACTATTCCTACTTCCCTGATAAGTCAGATTTCTAGAATAAAGGAAGTTGGTACACACAAGTAAACAGTATGCAAGAAATTAACAGAAAACATGTGCACGCAGCCTCATGCAGCCAGAAATCTCCAGATAAGCAATCTTAATGGTGAATGATGGGAATCCTCACTCACAGTGCAATCCCTTCATTGTTTAGAGATACACATGAGAAAAAGATTTTCAGTAGTAGCCAGCAATGATCAAAGTTTAAAGAACAGGCTCAGTCCTCTGAGAACCACTTCTAAAAAAGTAAACTCATTTCTCATCCTCATAGAAGTTCACAATAATAATTACAAGAGAAAAGGCAAGATGTCATTTTATGCACTCTCAGAATACCAGCAGTCAGTTGGGCATCTTCCTGACCCAAATGCGAACAGCTACCAAATATTTTGACCTTAAGAGTGGCATGACATCCACAAAGAAGTACCACATTGAACTTGATTGTAAGCACAGCAGTTAAAATGAGAGCCACCTGTGTATCTCATAATTCCATTTTCTAATTTCTCTTCCTAGTTGCCCCCAGATCCCAAACAGTTTCACTTCAGAAAGGAATGGGAAAAGGAAGGGATACAGCTATGGGACACATTCATGCAGAGATCTGGAATACGTAATATTTGTTATTTAAGTGTGACAAAATCAAATGCATAGATTTACTTCAGATGAGAGTTTTTCTGATTTATATTTAGCATTAAGTGTGCTTCAACATGAAATATTGAAACATGCATGAGCACACTGCAAACCTTGACACTTGACTGAAGAGCACATATTGCACACTGGAGAGATTGTAAGGAGAGGTGACATCATATAGAGAGGAAAAGTAATTGTAGATTGATCTACACACACGAAAACAGCCTGGAGATTGTGTCATATGCTAAAAAGTCTACCTGTCCAAAAGCAGTCACAAGACTGCTATGCTACTTTCCTTAAGTCAGTCACACCTTACCACAAATACAAGTACCACCCTCACTGTCTTTGGGGTATCTTTTAATGCTGACATGGAGGTCTCCTGGCTGCTATACTTGCTTTCTCTCTAATGTCAGCTAGTGACAGAAAAGGAAGCAGTAGCAACAGGAGAGAATGAGAGCTATCACCAACACAACTGACCTTTCAAATAAGTATTTGACAAGAGCCAACACATTACTTAAGGGAAATACTGATGGTGTTCTGGTATGAAAGTGTACCTAGAGAGTCCACCATAAATGTCAATTAAGAAGTTGCATCTGTCATATCTGCATCCATTTTCACTCCATTTATAGATACAGTGATTAGTATCAAAGGAAAGAAATACATTCAACGCTAATTTCATAGGAGAAAGTCTGTTAGAGAAAAATTACATTACCATTAGAATCATAATAACAATAAGAGATACGAGACATCTATTAAATCTGAACAGCTCTGATATATGGCAAATGGCAGCTGATCATCAGAACATACTGCCTCTCAGAATTTTTAATCCTTGCTCAGTACTCATGAAAGCTCCAAAAATTAAGCCCTGTAAGATTTGGTACTATATAGTTTCCCTTTAAAAGGATTAACTGAAAAGATAGATGCAAAGGATTCAGAAAAAATTTGCAGAGTTACACAGTTCAGTGTAATCTAAAGTTTAATATTAAGTAACAGAGACAAGAGGTAAAACGCAATTGCTACAGACATTACACATCATTCTTCGCAGACCAAGGTGCAAAACAAGCATTTAACATTAACTGGTTTGGACAGTTCAAATATAACATCCAGAGCAACTATACACCACAGCCTAACTACAGCTGCACAGAAAGTTTGAAGTCAAGCTTGCACACTGACATGCAAGAGCAGTTACTTAAGTGCATTAAAATGAAGATGTAACTAACTTTCATTGTTGCTAAAACTGACAAAATGATGTTTATGATGTTTCAAGTGCAAGTTTGTCATTGATTAAATTTTGTACTTCATTAAATAGATCCCCCAGGTCTTATTTATGATTTATCTAAACTCCTACCAGACAAACCTGGCTGTGAGGACTAGTGCTGGAGGTGCCAGTCCCATTCAGAAGCAAGTGCTACAACCTGCAGCAGAGCAGATATCCCAGCTAGTTCAAGTCTCTCTGCATTTTATCAGACTGGAACCTGAAGGCTTTGGAGAAAGTCTCCTCCTTACACTCCAGTGGATCCCAAAAGGTGAATACCAAGGGATGTCTGAAGTACAACTTATTACACAATAAGAAATAGAAATCTTGATTTTTGTTTACTTGCAACTTTAAGATATATCATGTACAAGTATAGTATAAACAAAGTGGCCTTAATTCAAAGTTCTGGACTGGCCTTTCCTGGTATGAACATCAGATTTTAAACATGAATATCAGTTAGTTTTATTGGTACTTGGTGACAAAGCATAGAATATTCATAAGGAGTTCATTCTCAACATGAAGAAAAATAAAATTCTGTTTCAGCTTGACATGGATAGAGAACTGCACAGAAACTGTTTTTTTCCACTGGAGTGATCTGCTGTAGGAGTTAGCCATATGCTTTAAATGTGACTGACACATCTCTGAATTTAATGTGTCACCTGCTGAGTTCAGGATCTGCTGTCTATCTCTCACCATGTAAGAAATGAATTGCTTCAAAATGATTTATTGCCAGCAAAATAGAATGTGAAAACAACAATAGAAACAGTGCTTTAAAGGCATCCTAAATTTAATAGCACTATTTGATGACTAAATTACTTCACATATATAATCAAACATTCTGACTGTGAAATTTCAGTTGCACAGTCTAGTATCTGGCCTCCTGATTCATTAAATGCAATAAATGACATGGAAAAAGTACTAGTAAGTGCCTCAGTTCCATTACAGCTTGTAACTCCATGCAGAAAGTAGAGAGCTATAATTTCAATACATGGAATTACTCTATCCACTTTCATATTTTCCTGTAACATATCTACAAAAGCATCTTTAATGAAGGATTTTCATTTTGTATTTCCTTCTACAAATAGTTAGCTTTATAAAATCTCATCTCTGTACATACTACCAAAAGGCTTGATACATAGAACTACTCTTAAAATATCATGGGACTCTTAAATGTTGAAAAATGATAGTTTAATCTTAATATTTTAACCTTAGAAAGATTAACAAAAATTATGAAGTCTAGTGACAAGGCAAAAGCCTCAATCTATCAGGATATTTAAGTGCAAATACAACTGAGAATGCAAATCCTTTACTATATAAACAGGATTGCTTTTATGCTTAAAAGCAGGCTAAAAAACTGTATAGCACAGTAAATGCAGCTTCAAGAAGACAATCCTGTAAACACACAAGGTATATTTCACATTCTTTAAAAAATCGTAAGTGCTTACCTCCCTTTTCATCCATATCATCCACATCAAGGTTACCTTCCTGAGGCATTCCTAGATTACAAACAGAAGATACTCAAATAAAAATACTGCCTTTGTTTCCTTACAAGAAATTGACCAAAGAAAACTATCAATAATAAAAACAAGTGCTGCCTATCAAGTGGTCCATGGCAGCCAATACATGACACTTCAATTATTAAGAATAAAAATCAAACTGTTCTTGGATCATTAGATCGGTAGTAACAGTTGTTTCTGGTCAACACTGACACTGGAAGCCCCAGTATTACCTTTTGATACCTGCTGGCTCAGATTTGTGACTAAAACTTCTAAGATTAGTAAAATGAGCATGAGTTAAAAGCAGTCACGTGAGTGACACAGGCAAAGAAATGAGAAGGACGTTTTTCTTCTAGTTATTCCTGATGCTTACTTTGTGTTGTAATTATTAATTGAGACAGATGAAACTCTGTAAGGTTGTCTTTACATGAAATGCTGTTGGATATAACTCACCAGGCAGCTAAATACAACAGTTATTTGCTCATTTCCTGCTACCTTGTCCCTCCAACCCAGGGGGTGGGGAGTAGAACTTTCAAGATATGAGATAAAAGCCATTTACTAAGACAGGAAAGGAAGATAAAATAATAATAGCAATGATAACAATATATACATAAAACACTTTGTGAAGAAGGCAATCTCTCATCACACACAGACCGCCCAGCCAGTCTGTGAGCAGCGATTGCTCTCTGGCCAACTCATCATCATTTATCAAGTTTTTATTCACATGTTATTATCATACAGGATGGAATATCCCTTTGGCCAGTTCAGGACAGCTATCCTGGTTCTGTCCCCTCCCAGCTCCTTGTGCCTCCCCACCCCTCTCACTAGGGGAGCAGTATGAGAAAGCGAAAAACTGAAATTCGCACTCTGTACAGAGCTGCTCAGCAACAATCAGAACATCACTATGCTAAACACTTTTGCTTTCATAGCCAAAACATAGACACAACTTTCCTTCCTATGAAGGAAAAATCAACTCTGTCCTAGCTGAAACCAAGAGAAATGGTTTGCTGCTGTTTGATTTTACAAGAACCACAATATAAATGAGGATAGCTTGCCCAAGTAGATTATTTTAACCACTGATAAGATCCACCGAAGTTTATCCATTGGCTCACAACACACATTTCCTATTGTTTAATAAATGCTGCCACAGTAAATTAACTGCAGGACACTGACATTCTGAACTGTCACTCACTGTAAGAGAACTGGGAAATAAAGAGGGAGAGAAGACAACTGGGCTTTTCGTTGTTGACTGCTTGGCTTTTGTTTTGTTGTTGCTTGGTTTTGGATATTCATGAAAACAATTATACCCGTGAAAAAAAACAAGTTTTAGCTCCAGTACTAATCAGTGCTTCAAAGTACAGTAAGAATCATGGTACATGATTCTTGTACAAGCATGATTCATGCTACTAAGCAACTGTCAAAGTCCAGTTGTCCAGTCTGAGAGCAAAGTAAGGTATTAGAAATAAAAAAGCAAAAAAAAAAAGATGAGTGGAGCTGTTTATTTACAGATGTGCATAAAGTTAACTACAGACTTGACTATTGCTGAACTGAAAACTATTTGTTGGGCAGATTTTAAGCACCAAAGTGCCATGCCTAGTAACTACAGCTATGTTCACCAGTAGAAGTATGTGTTGATGCATCGTAAAACTTTAAATAAAGTTATTGAAATTACTAAGAATGTTCCCTTGTTTTTATGAATTACAAGTTACCATATTGCTCGAGAATAAAGAGCACGGGTCACTGCAATTTCCTTTGACATCCTGCAGCATAATCACCTTCTCCCCTTCAATATGAGTACTACAAAGAACAAAGGTTAGTTTGGGACTAGCTTCAAGCACCTGGCTTCAATTGCTAGCAGTGAGGGTACCGAGCTTCTAAACCTGACATTCAAATGTAAATTTAACTAATTAAACTCAAGAAAGTAGTATTTGTGAGCGATTTTCACCTTCTGTCATTAAAATGAGAAAGATATAGAGAATTTCTTTCCAAAGAATGCTTACACAAAAGGGTAAGGCTACTTTTAGAACTCATTACTTGATCTCCACTGATCACTGCAACCTGCAACCACTGCAGCAGCACTCATGCCCCTTCATTGCAGATATGGCAAAATGGCTGACAGCAGGATCCCTGATACAATTGGTGTCAATGTCTGTGCTTATCATTGCTTAGCAATACGTGTATGCATATAACGTAGATAGTGCCATTATCCTACAACAGTACTTTCATAGATGAACTACTTCCTAAAATACATGAATTACAGATTAAAAATAGGATTTGAAATCAGTCTTAGCTTGAAAAGTACATGATTGTTCCAACTTCAATTCTATAGGTGAAATTCCAGAATCTCTGACAACAGTTAAACTCTCCCTAGCAATTTTAATTTTTTCAACTCCTTTTCCAGCAGTATATTAAACTCTGAAGTCAAAGCATTTCATTTTGCTGTACTGTATTTTAACCATATCAACAAAAGGAAAACTCAAGAAATTAAAGTAAGGATAAAGTTTTATTGCCTTACTAGGAGACTTTGATGGTCTGGACAGATAAATCTTTTGCTTATCACTGCAAATAGGTAACGCACTCTATCACAGCTATGAAGGCAATGAAGTTCAACAGATCTGAAATAACTTCTACATTTGTTTTTAACTTCCATCACCAACCAGGCTACATGGATGCAATGCTTTCAGCTCATACAAATCATAAGAATACTGTCTATGTAGCAGCAAATACTAATAACAGATATACTGATACTTAACAATTATAAAAAATAACAAATATATTCACATGCATGTTTGCCAGTATCAATATTAAAAAGAACTGTAACATGCGACTTCTGCAGAAGATCACTAGTAAAATGATCTTAAGCAATGATAAATACATTGATTTTCTAGGGAGATTTTAAGGACAAATTTTGTTATGTGTAAACAGTACAAGGACATATGAATAGATACGCATATATTCATCCACTCAACCTTAGAAATGTGAGCAAGTATACATACTCCATGGAAAAAAAACACATTCTCCCACAAGCAAACAGCTGAAGTCTGGGTTTACAGTCAGATATAAAATGAGGAACAAATTGTCTCCTAATATTCATACATCCTGAAGCTTGCACTTACTTCTTTGTATGCCTTGAAAATACATAGTAATCTACCACCTCACTTAACAGATAGTGAAGCTACCAGCTTAGTTATCAAAGCATTTTTGAGAAAGGAAAAAAAACCATAAAGTTACCTCTTGAGCATTCCTGAAGGCACACTTAAACCCACTGCTAGTCTGACCTTCCCTCCTAGGGGAGGGATCTCAAATAAACGCGGCATGAGCCACTAAAGCAAGCCTGCCCCTTGACAAGAGGACAGGCTGGAGCAGAGAGCACCTCAGAGATGACTGTGAAAAGACCTCTACAGCCAAAGCACATCCCACAGCATCCAAGCAAGGCAATCAATACAACCCTAGAGTTCGGTGGCCAGGTCCAATCAACCATCCAGATCATAATACAGTACAGGAGTCAAATGAAGGTCAAGATGGGGAGTCAAACCACAGGTGGGGCCAGCTTGAGGCAGGACTCATTATGCCAAGCTGGGAGCAGCCCCAGGCTACTAGTAGAGCCCAGGTGGCCTGGGGATGTGGGGATGCAGGTGAGGCTCATCAGGGTCATTAAAGCTAATTAATGCACTTGATGACCTTAACAGTTTCACAGGGAACAAAAACCTGGATTTGCCATTTTACACTGATATGAAGAGTAATTGAATAGCTGAGTATATTATACATAGGTTGCTCTGAATGTAATGCCTCCTATTTATTTCCATGGAAACCAGAACAGATACAAAAAGTACAGTAATACTAGTTGATAGAGCAAGTTCTCAGCTATAAAACACTGTTTTTCAACATAGCTATCATCATTACCTATGTATTTTTACCATCAATGAACAACAGTCTGCATGTTGCACTCAAACATCTGAACTAGTGAATTGGAGAATGGCCTGGGTTGAAAAGACCTCAAAAATCATTTAGTTTCAACCCCTCTGCCACCAGCAGGGTCACCAACCACAACACCAGGCTGCTCAGAGTGACTAATGTTTCTACCACCACCATAGAAATGCATCAACCACCTCATTATGCTCACATTCGCTGTTTGGTCTCCAAAAACACTCATCAAGTGTCAGTGAATGTGCATGGGTGCCATTTTTTCTACATAGAGGAATTCAATGACTATAACAATCAGAAAGATCAATGTAGTAGAATAGCAATACAGGAGATGCAATAACAAAGAGACTAGCATGAACTGAAAGGTGTTACAAATGAAAAGTGCATACCTATTTCCAAAGATGTAGGCTCCCTGAGAAGACTTCACAAAGGGGTAATCTCCAAGCAGAGATTCTTCCCTTGTGGCAGTCAGCCCTTAAGTGAGGTCTAAGAGAGGTGCAGCCAGGCTCCACCCCTTCTGGTGGCACAGTTGAATTGCCTTCACCTGTGCTCCCAAGGCTGACTGGGTCCTTACCTCAGGTGCTCAATCAGTGGTACAGGCCGTGACTCAGCAGTTACCATAAAAATGACACACCTTTGCTTCATATGTACTTCTATGTCTGACACCATGTTGTCAGACTGCCCCTCTGCTGCTGTCTGTTACACAACAACAAAACTGCAGTGTAACATTGGTGGGTCATACCACCATCTGCCTCAGATATCATGGGCCAACAGAACAAAACAGGAGGCATCACTTTCAGAGCAGCACTCATATCCACAGGACAAATCCACAATAACTCCTTTTGAAATTAAGGGTTCTTCTTCTGCAGAAGAAGAATGGGAAAATCTATATGGCTGAATTCATTGCAATGGTGGTTATGGATAACTTGCAGGTGTATTTTGGCAGACAGAAAATATGGCATGCTATTACATCTAGCTACCCAATGACTGAGGTTAGAGATGGCAAAATGTTTTAATTCAGTTGTTCCATGTTTGGATGTAAAATTGTGGTTATAATAAGTCATAAGAAACTCTGCTAATATATTTCACCTAGTTCAATAAGGTGAATATGTATATTTGCTAGTAAATGATGGAGCAAGATGTCATTCTTTGACCACTGGATGTAAAAAATTTGAAAGTAGAAAATATTAGAAAAAATTTTCCCTATTACTTTTATCAGTATTAATCATTGACACTCTCTCAGTTATTGCCAACTGTTTTTGCAAGGAGGAACAAGAAATTTCCTGTGTTTCTTTACAGCAGTAAATCACATTAATACTGTATCGCTTAAGTATTCTCACACATAAATACGAAACACTCAAAATAAACAAAGAATTTGTGAGCTATTGATAAACAAAATAATAGCAGTACATCAGAATGCCATGTTTCCTTTTTAGTTTAAATAGGCATTTCTAATAAATGTTATGAAGCCTAATCATTATAGCCATGCCAGATGCTGGATTGTACAGGCAAAGGTTGGTTTGAATGTGCTGTCATGTTAGACACACTTGCCAACATTAAACAGACTGTGACTACTATCCATACGTTTGCCTCTCTCTAGGGCATTTTTAAGATTTTTTTTTTAATTAGCTTTTGCTTTCAAGCAGTGCTTTCATTTTTCTTGATAAAGCTTTTGTTTTTCCAGGTTTTATTGAATTGAGATTAGATTGTACATTTCCTATATCCATTGCAATATCTTTTAATAATATATGAAAACATGCAATGATAAGCACCTTGCAGTGTTTTAAAGTTCAGTTCAAAATGAAATAGTTCAGTGTTCCCTTGATTGTTATAATTTGGGCACAATCTTTTAGAAACGGCATTTCTAATTTGAAGCTTCAAATAATGGAAGGCTAGGAAAAATTGAAGGGAGGTTTAGCCACTATGACAGAAAGCACACTCCATAACATTGGTCCTAGATATAAGAATCTTCTATCTAGATCTTGCCACTTCATAAGACTGGCTCTGAGCCGGATAACTACATTTTCTAGTCAAGGTAGAAAACACCTGTCCAAGAGCTGTACTTGTTACTATTCGGCGATAAGTGTAGACACTGCTAAACTAAGAGTGAGCATATTCCACAAGCTGCCAACAGGATATAAATCTGAGTATCGCCAGAAACTGGGATAGCATGTTTTGTACCCAAAGAGTCAGTTGTGGTTTTCTGAGTGTACTGTGTAAACTTTACAATTCTAGACACCCTTGAGATTGAAGGCTAGTGTCTGTACCTATTTTCTTTATTGCTTAAAATGTTGCCAATTGACTCCAATTAGGGCAGAAAATGCTATGACACAGCTTTAAATCTATTGTTTTATACTAGCAATAGAATTTAAGTAAGTGGTTATGAACCAACTCAAATTTCCATAAATTAAAGTAGCAAGGCAATAATCGTTTACCTTCACAGATATTAATAGTGGGTTTACCAAGCAGCAAAATTCACCATTACATTATAAAAAATGATGTTTATTAATGGTGTCTCATCACCTTTCACAGCAGGATTTCTCATCTTATTTTGGCATAATGACTGAACCAGCATCAGATTTTAAGAATGAATATTGCCATTATTCACTACAGTAGCACACAGAAGCTTCACTAGAAAGAAATAAGGAATAAAATGCATATTTTTCAAACCTTCATTTTCTATGAAATGTTTGAATTAAGTTGCAAACTGTGGTCCTCTGAGAACTGAATTATGTCCTAAAGCAATGCTTCTGAAGAAGTGAATGATCCCTGGAAATTGGGCTGTGATTAGCCTGTGAGTTTTCTTATACAGACTTCTGATTTTCTGCTACTGTAGCTGCCATTGGATTTTGTATTCTGGCACAGGGATTCTTTCTGTCACATGAGGAAATGATGAATCGTTGTCTGAGTAGCTCCAAGCACATACTTATTTCCTCTCCAGTAAGAACAACAGTCAATATCATTTAGTCACAGAAAAGCATACAATACAACACATCTAAGAAATGCTTTATTTTTTATTACTGATTCTAGCTGTTAAACTGTAGCTCTTTCACATTTGTATTGCTACTCTGCCCCAATGAGGATGTATTGCCAAAGTAAGGATGGGCCTTTAGGCTCCCTAAAATACTACAGTATGATTTTGAAAAGGGGCATAGTATGTAAAGGACCTGTGAAGCAGCAATGGTCCTGACACCATGCTTTCATTGAAACAGGAATCTTATTTTAATGACAACAGCTCAGAAGTCATACCAGCAGAATTCTGTGAATACCAGGAACAGTACAAGACTTTAAGAGCTATTGAAAGTTTTGTCAGTTCATAAGAACTGGGGAATTTGCTGATCTCAATGCATTTAATGTTTCATGACGCATGTTTCGGTCTGGAGACAGAATTTTAAACTGGTAAAGCATCACAGCTTTGTATTTTCAAGATAAAAATAATGGGAAACTAATAATTAGATGAACATTTTTCTCAAAGTTCTATGAGCAAAATTTTTCTTAAGCTTAAAAATATGAAGGGAAAAGTTTGAAATTAAAATGAAAATCTTTGCAGTGGCCTAAATTATTATTATTATTTTTTTAAGCTTACAAAAATCTGCAAGTTGTTTAATTACTCTCTGTGTTGATAACCCACAGTGAGTTACAGGAAAAAAAAGAAAGAAAACACTTAAGATTTTTTTGAAGATTTCATATCTCTAAAGAGGCATTACTTAGAAATATGTTTAAAGACTTTCATCATATTGGTAAAGTTTACTGTGTTCTTTAATGACAACTCATTAGTAAAGCCCTGATCCTGTTACTGAAGTCTAAGAAGGATTCCATAGGCAAAGGGATAAATGAAAGCCTGAAAGCTACATAGAGTATCACAGAATCACAGAATCGTAGGAGATGGAAGGGACCTCCAGAGGTCATAGAGTCCAACTCCCTTGCCAAAGCAGGTTTCCTACACCAGATTGCACAAGTAGGTGTCCATGCAGGCCTTGAATATCTCCAGAGAAGGAGATTCCATAACCTCTCTGGGCAGAGTAGCCTGAAGTTATCTTGTAGCTTTCTGTAATACAAAGGTAAGTGTACTTCTGCTCTGGGATTATTTACTGTAGTACCCAGACATATTTTCTAAATATGATCAGAGTTACAGGACAAGTAAATCCGATACTATGAGTATCAAACAAAATAAATCTTGGTGACAATTAGAAAATTTTAATTTTTCTGAGCATTCTGGAATGGAAATCAGTAGCTAATATCTCATAGAATGTAATGGTTCAGAATCAGGCACATTGTTGCCAAACTTCTAAAAAAATCAGAGCAGCCAATTGTAGGGTATGACATGCAATCCAATTGCCCTGTTTGTAGCCACATGCTGTGGAGCTCAAAGCTGCTCAGTATTTCCTTGCCTGCATGGCAAACCAGTAGAGAAACATTATTTTGGGTCCTATAGCAAGCAATAAACAGAGATAAAAATGGAAAAAGGCTAAGAGGATTTACATACCTGCCAAAACCTACTTTCAAGGCTCTGCCTTCTGTGCAGAACTGGATAATTGCTAGGGCTGAATGAATAAAGTATACATTTTCTGTTAATACTGATCGGAGTTTTTAAATAAGCCCTCTCTGGCTGTTGTTGCACCTGCATGGCATTCACTGGCACCACTACATTCCTCACCAGAGGGATGAGATAAAAATGCAACTCCTTCTAGTCCTCTGTCCATTCAGATGAGATGGCATGGAAACCATAGTCTGTTTTTCACAGCAACTCATATCCAGTGTATGCTAAAAATTCACTGTTCACTAACCAGTGATATTTCATTGTCAAAATGTTGTTAGAATGCTGCCTTTTACAACTAAATATGAAACAGTTTGTAAAATACTAGCTACTTCTAATTAGCAATCAAACATGTATTCTTAGATGGATGCTTTTTGTAAACAAATAAACAAATACTTGCAAAGACAAAAAAAGACAAAAAAGAAGAATGGACTGCATGTCTTACCTTCATCCTTATTGTAAAAAAGATTTATTGCTAAGCCAGTTAGCATGTGCATCTATTTGGGAGTGAGCATCTCTACAGTTTTAGATGGTCTTCTGCAGGTACAAGTCAGTACAGAGCTATGGAGTAGCAGAGACTGTCAGCAAGGGTACAGGAAGTGGTTTCTGAGCATCTGGGAGCCTACAGGCTGCACACTGCCAAAACATTGCTCCTTTGTCAGGACACATTAATCTCCATTCCCATTTGCCTGCACAGCCAGGCAGGCTGCTGCATGCTATACCAAGGGATGCAGGGAACAGAGCTGAAGCTCTGAATCTTGCACTCTCCTTGCTTTCCCTGCACATAGGCTGCAGGGCCCTGGTGCAGTAGGGC